ATGCTGGGTTGGGGGCAGTCTCAGGAGCTAAGCAGACTTGTAAGGGGCGACTCTGTACTGCACTTTTGCTTGCCGCATCCCCAGCCTAGCAAGCAAAAGTACAGTGCAGAGTCGCCCCTTACAAGTGGTCTCTTTAAGACTGGGATTCAAGTTATTATTGAACAATGTAATTCAATGAGGAATGTGCTCTTAATACTCTTTCTCTGGGTTACTCGTCATTCTGTCTTAGCCTGCTGAGGGCTTTTTTGAGGATAAAATGGAGAGTCTTATCACATGAGAAAACAAAGCTGAAATGGAGGGGGAGAGTAGCGGCTTTCCCATGCCTTTCTGCATGCCTCCATAGCACTTCCATTCTCTTCCGGAGGGAGATGGTTGAAAAAGTCTTTTGTTGTACTGGAAAAATCCATTTGACAAAAGGTATGCTTTTACTATCATCTCCCTCAGGGCAGAGAATGCAAGTGCTATGACAGCATCCAGAGTGGCACTGAGAAAGACACTACTCTGTGACTCTGTTTTCGCTTTCCTTTCTAATACGACAAGGCTCGAAGAGATCCACATAGGTTGCCTTGAGATATCAGAGGAAAGGAAATATACAAATCTAACAAATAAATTGAAAGATATACAGTGATTTTTCAGTAGAATGACATGTTATCACAAACACAAAGCTGCCACAAAAAATGATGAGTTATTCCCCCACTATCATAAAACTCACCTCTGCCCTAAGGTTATCCGCTCATGTGGTATAAAAATCCCTAGCTACCCAGTGGGAAGATCCAGTACAGAAGGCTCATACTCATGTTCATATTCATTTGGGTTGTTGTAAAATCTACAGTTTTGTAAATTTGTCTGTGTAGCTGGAAAATGGCATCTTGGCTCAGTAAACTGAGATACAAATTGGCCTCACACAGTGGTGTCTCCACACTTGGTGTCCACTGATGCAGGAGTAGAGCTTCCATGGGTGGGACTCCTTGGGGAGAGGCTTCTGCAGTGGCACACATTCCCTCTCCCTGTGCTGCCCTGTCCTCTTCCTGATGAAGAAAAGGGATGGCATGGGATGAAGAGCATGTGGGGGGGCAGAAAATGCAGGAGCAGTGCACAGGAACAGTGCATAGGGAGGAGTGTGGGGACAGCACACAGAGGGAAGGTGCATTGGAAGGTGACTGGGTGTCACCCCTCTTCAGGGGTGTCACCCAGTACGGTCTACACCACTGCATCCCTTCCCAGTGATGCCACTGACCTCATGTAAAACCCTTCAGGAACAGCCAACAAAAAAACATGGAAGGATTCAATTAATCATACTTTTCTTTTTGATCCAAACTGCAAAATGATTGCTAATGGCTTTACAACAAGCCCAGATATTAACCCAGTTTCTCCCCATGGCTAGTATTCTTGCTTATGCCTTTAAAACAAATGTTTCAAAACTGATAATATCATCCAAATGTAGACATTTTATGTATTTGATAGCAGAGGAAGATTGTGTTCTAACAGAGGCAGATGAGCAAAAAGGTTATTAATTATGTTTCAGAAAAAGAAGTACAGAGTTTCCCCACAGAAAGGTGTGATTCTTAGGTCAACATCTTGGAGCAGTGTCAGAATATCACAGCTGAGGTACCTTCTCAATCCAGACATGCTGTCAAATATATTAAACTGCTATTTGCAGAACTGTTGCATCCTTAAGCATCTTTACAGTTCATGACAAAGACTAGATACGACTGAGGTACTAAACAGGTTGTACCTCACTTCTGAAAGATATCCTCTGGTTATGTAAAATAGCTATGTGCACAACAAATATGAGCTCAGTTATTTTATGATGGTTTTGGAATTCTGAAACACAAAAAGTTCTCCATACATGATACAGAAAAAGGACTAAAAGATATACATTTCTTTTCAGTTTAAAAACTATTACCACCTTGTTCTCTGTCTCCACGCTCCTCCCTATGCACTGTTCCTGTGCACTGCTCCTGCATTCTCCCCCCACATGCTCCCCATCCCATGCCATCCCTTTTTTTATCAGGAAGAGGACAGGGCAGCACAGGGAGAGGGAATGTTGCGGGGTGCCAAATGTTGTCTTTTTCTGACAGTTTATGAAAAACAAGATTGACATGGCAGCTATTTGCACCATGTGTTTGTGTGCGTGCATGTGCCTTCAAGTCACCTATCAACTTATGGCAATACCATAAATTTCATAATGTTTCCTTAGGCAAAGAATACTCTGAGGTAGTTTTGCCAGTTCCTTCCTCAGAAGGAAAGCACCTTGTACATATAGAGAAAGCTGATACATGTCTTACATCCATCTCATTAAAAAACAACACAAAATCACAATGCTGGAAAGGTGCCTTGGAAATAGGGTGGAGCTTAACACTTTTTAAAAGGAGCCAGATGCTACCTTAAATAGACCATTTGTGAAAAGGTAAGAAAGAATTATATTTAAGTATCCCCACAAAGCTTTAAAATTATGTTTTTGCATTTTCTGTCTGCTTATCACATCAAGTTAAAAATCATCAGTCTGAAGGATTCATTTCTTCTGTATTGGTATTTCTTATCACAGTGTTCCACACAGTTGGTTGCAATCCTGTACAAACTCACATGGGAATACATTTAGCAGATATTTAGCAGAAATTACTTCTGAATAGATATGCAAAGAAATGTGCTGCACATTTTATTTTGTCTGTAACAGTCTATCATTTTAAAATGTTGATAATACACTATTTGTTTATCAGGAGGAGCAAAGAAGAAATTGCATGAATTGGCAAGTCCTTGGGATCAGATGTCAGCAAAGATATCCCAGTCGATAGTTCTTACCTGATTCACATTTGTGTGTATATGGAGGAGGGAGAAAGGTTTAAGTGTATGAGTCAGGGCTTTGATGGCCAACCCTGAAATAACAAGATCAGACACAAGTAAATGCATTGAGTAAGATCCACTTTATTGATCTATAGTCTATTTAACTAAATTTGGACCTGGGAATAAGCAAAGCAGGAATGGGTGTGGGTTTAGCAACCTAATGTGGGTCCAGCTGAGGCCCAGGCATCAACCTGTGACCAGCTTCTCCAACCTTCCCTTGGATTAAACACCAGACTCTGGAGAGCAATCTAAAAAAACATTGGTTGCTGCCTGGACAGTTGTTTACTGGAAGGCAAATCCAGGGGCTCCCCCCCCTTGCCCAAGTCACAAGACTTCATAAGGGAGAGTAATTCCCCAGTTCAGCCCCAAGGGCTGATTCATTCTCCATCCCTTCAGGTCCCATGGCCCATAGAGGTGGTTCCAGAGCCCAACCCTTCACCAAAAGGGTGCCAAGTTGTACACCAGCCTTGTAATGTTTCCTCCTATAACCCACCATATGCAAACCTCTTCTAGAAACCACCAAGAACCAGTTCTCCAAGTCTCACCAGATAGTGTAGGGTAGGTAAAAATAAAATATAATAATAAAGTAAAGGGGGGGAAATCTACGTGGCCCCAAATGGACTAACTTAGCTCACACTGCACAGAGGGCAATGGTTTCCTGATTCACTACACTCACTTCAACACTATATGACCCCATCCTCATGGGGTTGCCCTACATTCATTTATTCCACAGCCAGTCCTCCCCACCCCAACAAACTTTAACTTTTTCTTTTAGTGAAAAGATGAAAAAGGCCTTGGATAAGATCCAAAAAAGTATTTAAGGTATACCCAAGGCTATCAAGTTCTGCATGCTCAGTGGGACTTTTAGCTTTTCTCTTTATTTTGAATGGCAGACTCCCACACTGTAACACAAAGAGTTTTTGACACTTCTGTCAGTTTGCAAAAATACTTGGCATACATAGGGGGAACTGTGGTTTGTAAAACATGGATTCAGAGGCATGTGGATACTAGAACATAGTGATTTGGATCTAGGCCATCAAAGCAAGAATCCATGAAGCACATGTACTTGAATAACCATAGTTAGAATAAAGGCTCACTGTACTCTGTTCATCAAACATTAAAATTCTGCTTAGTTATGTATCCTGCATAAGTATAGAAATTGAGCACATTTGCATATAATTCTGTTGCTAGTGCTGAAAGTGCGTGCTTTTTCATGGTTTGGAATAGCCCTTAGATTAGGTGTGGAAATCATGCAGCACTCCAGATGTTGCTGGGCTATAACTTCTTGCATTCCTAACCATTGACTACTCTGGCTAGGTTTGCTGGGAACATCAGGCCAACAGCATCTGGAAGGCCTCATGATTGCCACCTTGACTTAGGGGCTAAACAGATGGCCCCTAAGGGACAACATCCTGCCACCCTTTTCCTTGATGGATTGGGGCTGCAGCAACTGTATGCCATGGCCCCAATCTGGCACTTGCTGCAGCAGAGGCTTTCCACACTCCTTTGGCACAGCATGTCTGTACGCTACACCAAGGAAGCACCCTGATGTCACCCACCATGTAGTGGGGCACATGGCATGATGGTGGCATCAGGGTGGAGTCGGGGTGGTCAGCGTGTGGTCGCCACACCCCAAATCCACCTCTAGGCCAGCCATTTTGGCCAGTCTGTACAGGGCGTTAGTTATGATATATATAAGCTATTAAATAGATTTGTATATCTGTTGATATTGGATGCATTATGAGAATACTCACACATGAGTGAAGGTATAGCCACTGGGATTCCTAGACATTGCTAATCTCATACTATACTACTGCAAGCTTTAAATTTAAGAACACATTAAAATTAACTTATGCATTAAAATCATCCACAGAAACATACATGCATAATGTTCTCTTAAAATTCAAGACACATTACACCTGCCTGACATAGCACTCATGGAAAGCTAGGTAATGATGATTATGATGAGATTATTAATATTTTTAATATTTTCTAGCCTTTCTACACATGGGGAAGAGAAAGGAGCCATGCAGAATACTGGATTCTCATCAAAAAGAAATCTCATTCAGTCAGCTCTCTGGCTTTTGAGGTTGCAACGATTGTGAGATACATCATTGTTTCTAAACTTTTAAGCAGTAGTACGGTCATGAAGAGGAGATCAATGTGGTGCCGTGGTTTGAGTGTTGGACTATGACTCTGAAGAACAGGGTTCGAATCCCTGCTCAGTCATAAAAAATCCACTCTGTGAATACTAATTCCAAAAGATGATAGACACAAGCCTAATTGAAAACTATAGACCTATATCCCTGCTGAATCTTGACTACAAGCTATATGCTTCAGTTATAGTGGACAGATTGAAAAAAGAACTATCACAGTGGATGCACAAAGATCAATTGGGCTTTTTATATTTTTATTATTTTTATTTTTACCAGGTCGACAAATTAAAAATAACATTAGAACAATAGTGAATAATTTAGAGTATTATGAAAGGAATAAAGAGAAAAAACTGGGTATTATGCTAATTGATTTAGAAAAAGACTTTGACAATGTTGATGGTTCTTCATGAAAGAAGTGGTAAAACAAAGCGATATTGGAAACAAATTCCAAAAATGGATTAATGCTATTTATTCACAGCAAACTGCCCAAATAGATATAAATGGGGAGCAATCAGATAAGTGCAGAATCAATAAAGGGACACATCAAGGCTGCCCACTCTCACCACTTCTTTTCATAATGATGATAGAAATCCTAATGAGAAAAATAAGAAATGATAAACAAATTACAGGATTACAAATTGGAAACCAAAAATACAACACAAAAGCATTCATGAATGATTTAGCAATTATACTAGAAGACAAAAAAAAAAAGCATAACAAAACTATGGTTAACTGTAGAACAAGTATGCAGCATAGCAGGCTTCAAAATCAATAAACCAAAAGTGGGATTCTGGTAAAAAAAAATTAAAATGAGATGTGGAGGAGCTAGCTAACAAAATAGACATAAGGATAATAACAAAAACAAAATACCCGAGCATTTGATAGCAAACCAAAATCAGGATCTTCTATCAAATAACTATACTGTGATATGGAATAAAATCAGAGAGGATCTAAAAAGGTGGAAAACACTGCAATTGTCTTTACTTGTTAGAGTAGCACTAATACAATCGTATGTTCTCCTCAAAATACTATACCTATTCCAAACTATCCCTGTGATAACTGTCTTTAATACATGGACAAAGACATTAGAAAATTTATCTGGCTAGGGAAGAAATCAAGAATAAAAATAGCAGTGCTACAAGATGATAAAAAGAAGGTTTACCCAACCTTCAAGCTTACTATAATGCAGCAGCTTTCACATAGATAAAAGACTGGATAGAGTTAAAGAATAAGAGGTTATTCACATTAAAAGGTGATAATTTAAAGGATGGCACATGTACTTACATTATGGGAATGTGACAATAGGCAACAACTTTAATAATCATATGATCAGAAAAGCCCTAATGAAAATTTGGATTCAGTACAAGTTTTTTATTGTATCATTACTGCTCAATTGCAGTTGTTTTAATTTGTAATTGATTTAATACATTTTTAAGGGGGGGAGGAGGGATTGACATTGTTTTACTCGATGTATTTTATTATTGTTGTTCACCGCCTAGATTGGCTTGCCACTGGGGCAGTATATAAATAAACTATATTATTATTATATTATTACACCAAAACTCCAAGATGGGTCTCACCACAGATGGGTCTCACCACAGGAAGTATTTCACAAGGCAAAAAAACTTTATAAAGGGAAGTGGCTCACATACGAAGACATCCTACCTAGAACAGAAAAAGGAGAAAATATCAAATCACTAGAAGATCTTGAAAAAGAAGGAGTAAGAATACAATGGTTAGGATATCTCTAAATAAAAGAAAGATTCAAAAGAGGTAAGCACATAATAGGAATAGAACCAGAAAGAAAAGAGTTAGAAAAATTTTGTACAAAGGGGAAAAACATACAATATCTCTGTTATACAAGACACTGCTTGATGTTGAATTAAAAGAAGAGTTCATAAAGGATGCACGATAAAATGGATGCAGGACACTGGAGAAAATATTTTGCTAGATACCTGGGAAGAAGTATGGACAAAAAATTTAAAATTCACCAAGTGGATACTTAATAGAAAACTACCATAAAATGCTCTACAGATGGTGTATGTCCCCTCAAAAACTGGCCAAGTTAAAAAACAAAGATGAAAACAATTGTTGGAAATGTGATCAAAACAATGCCAATCTATTTCATATGTGGTGGAAGTGTAAGTTAGCAGTGGAATTCTGGAAAATGATTCATAAAAGAATACAAGGAACATTTCAAATTTACTTCGAGATGAACCCTAAACTGTATCTATTGAATATAACAGAAGAAATAAAAAGTAAAATAAGTAAGGAAGAAATTGGTGTTGTTTTTGTATATGATTACAGCGGCTTGAATAGTATTTGCTAAATATTGGAAAAGGATAAATGAGAATTTAGAGGAGGAGTTGCTTGCAAAGCTAAATAATTTGATGATTATGGATAAATTAACAATGATGATCAAAGATAAATCAGACCAACAATTTTGTGCTAAATGAAAAAAAATAAAGGAATTATGGAATTAGTTATTGATAAATATCAAGGGTCTATCAGATCCATAACATTACTAGAAAAAGCTTATGTTATCTCAGTGCATTTTATTTTATTTATGTTAATATCATGTTATAATTACTACTATATTGCTGTAACCCCCTCAGGAAATAAAAGAATGTAGGGAGCTTTATTTTAACACAATAAAAATAAAAAAAAATGCAATGTCCAGTTGCTATAGCATTAAATGAGGAAATTCAAACCTACGAAAGGCTCTTGCCTGAGTTAACTTGGTTTGTCATGCTGAAGCAGTATAGTGGTGGAATAGTACAACCATGCAACTAATCTCTAGTATCATCCACAATCAATGCCTTATACTTCAGAGGTATAGTTCACATGATTTCCCCTTAGGGACTTTACCGACCTGCCTGGGAGCGGTGGATCGGGGCTGCAGCAACTGCATGCCATGGCCCTGATCCTCCCTTTTGCTGTCCCCCAAAGAGCAGCAAAATATCACGGCTCTTCTGTGTCCTCTTGGATGGCATTGGGGTTGAGTTGTGGTGGCCGGTGTGTGGCTGCCCCGCCCCAACTCCACCTCCAGGCCAGCCCTTTAGGCCAGTCTGCATAGCCCCTTAATTTGTTTTAGAAAGGGAAATTGTGGAAGCCAAACAATTGGCTTTTCTCAGTACCATCTACTACATTGGAACCACAATCTCCCTGTCCCTTTTCAGAGCCATTAAGACCTCTAAGGCTGAATGCCCCACATCCTTCATCTTCTACAATTTTAGATATTGCCATTTAGTTCCCCCTTCATCACTGAATGGCCCAAGGAAAACAATGGCAAAATTATCTCAGGTTTTCCTACTGATTTGGCTTACAGTTCTGGTGCCTAAAAATAAATTTCTCTTTCATCTTATAAAATCTGATTAATTGTATCTGTGGGGATGTTATCAATGACAGAGCCTCACTTTCAGAGTCCTGTAGCAATTTATCCTGATGGTATTGTATTATTCTTTGTACTTTACCATGCTGTCTTTAAGGTTTCTCTCTCCTGCCCTTCCAACTTTAGTTATGGAAGACATTCCAAGCTCCTGATATAATCATTTCAGCCATGTGTTTGAAGTCCCTATTAAGAAGTGTTTAAAACCTGTAATCAATTACACAGATGGAAACCATATTGAACTCAGAAAGAAATATCTTCTGTGGTATGTTGTTCAGATTGAAAGGAAAAAGTTAGTGTGGTGATCGTAACAAAAGCTTCAAAGCTAAGGAAAATACAGACAACCAGACATCTTAAGTGTAGCTGAGGGTTTGTTTTTTTTAAGTAGATTGATGTCAAAAGAAGAACAGGCATAGTTCCAGCATCACATTTTGTATAGGTGGAAAGATTTGCATGACTACATAATCATGAAATTGTTCACACAGCAAACCATACTCCTTGTTCATAGAACATGAGATGTAAGATTGAGTTTAGGATAATTAACATTCATGGGATGACTGATTCATTTAAACAACAACAACAACAGCAGCAGCAAAACTAAAGCTTGAAACAAACATCTACAAGATCTGCATATTTTATGTTTGAGGGGGATGTACAAAAGCATTCCCCTATGTCCTTGAGAGGCATGAAGTATCAAAGGCACTTTGAGGTGGTACCCACACTGGTTTGACACCACCTTAACTACCATGGCTTAATGCTATGGAATTCTTGGAACTGTAGTTTGTTGTGGCCAGAATTCCATAGCATTGAGCCATGGTAGTTAAAGTGGTTTCCAACTGGATTATTTCTGCAGTGCAAATGCACTCATAGAGACTTTTTGAGGAGAGAGAACAGCCACAGTTGTGATATCTTGATTGGTTCTAATAGACATTTGCACTGAGTATGGGGGTGTAGCAAAAGATCCTTATACAGTTTTAGCCTCTTAAAAGCATCTTAAAAAACAAACAAACCAACAAACACATATTGAAATGTTCACTGACCAAACTTTTTAAAATGTGATAATCTTTTCACTTGACACACACAAGCAGAGATTCTACATTACCAAGCATGGCATAAAAGTTCTGCAAGTGAAACTAAGGGCCTCTGCATACGGGCTCTTTGTGGCATGTTGGAGGCAGGGAAGGGGAGGGGCAGCCACACGCCGGCCGCCCCAACCCTCCCCAAAGATGTCCTAACATCACATGCCCTTACGCATGGTGCGTGGCATCAGGACGTCCTCCATGCATAGCATCCTCATGCACTACATGGGAAGGGCCAGAAAAGAGCTACATGGTAGCTCTTGGGGTGGCCTTTTGCCACAAACAGGATAATCTGGGCCGCTGTGTGTGCTAGCAGTTGCCCCGATCCTCTGCTTCCTGGGGTGGCCCAGGGCCACCCGTCTGCATTCCCCCTATGCTAAAACTCTCTTCACATAATCCCCTGTACTCACTGTGTGTTGTACAATGGCATTTCATGGCCATTTAATGGCTGATGGGGAGGGGTTGGAGTTGGGAAAGCATCTGGCTATCTCCCCCCGACCTGACACAGACCAAAGACATCATTTGCTGAGATATGTTGGAGTCCTCTGGTGGTCTCGGTGGATGATGTCATTGTTCTAAATCTGGCTATTGAGACAAATGCTTCTC